AACCCCAAAAAAAAAAAAAAAAAAAAAATCTCCAATCAGGTTGGCCAGGCTGGTCATCAAGTTTGAATTCTTTAAGAGAAAATTTCATTTTTTTAAACAACTGAAGGTAAATTTATGTACATTTACAACTAATAATAAAGACAGATTCTTAGTTTGTGTCTAATTGTATTAAATCTGCTCCTTGGATTCCTATTACTTTAAAGAATATGATTGTAAGTGTGAATCAAGAATTCCAAGCTCTGCTTCTATGCTATAGAAGTAATAGAAGATGTAAATAATATAAGTATACTAATATACTTCATTTTTTTCCTGAGAATTGTATTCCTTTCCAGTGAGCATGTCTGCAAAATACAAAACAAAAAGATTAAAATTTACCATGATACAAAATAATGAAAGAGCTGAGTTGATGCACTGAGGGAGGAGCATCCAGTGTGGTCTGGGCTCCGTTTGTCCCTCGTGACCATGAACGGGGCTGGATGACTGACGGCAGGGCCTATCCTCAGTCCCTCGGGAAAGTAGGGAGCTCTCATCCAACTGGACCCATTCTGCTGAATTTCATTAGCGGGGGCTACCACACTGGGTGCTCAGTTATGCACTCTTGGAGCTGCTTCAAACCAAGCCAACATGTAGTCTCTGCTGTTTCCCACATCACTTCTGTTGAAGACCTGCTCTTCAGCACACGAGGTTGTCCACGGACGCTGTTTATTCCTGTGCTGGTCTCGTGTGACCTTATGATGAAAATGTCACGGGAGCAAACCTTTTGAGACAAGAACCTACTAAAGTCATACATGGTATTTCGGGAACATTTAAGTAATTTTCTAGCAACATTTCACCCAGAAGATTGCCAGGGCTCATTTGTCACATGAACCCTATGTGTGAGTATTTCAAATGTGCTGCTAGGTGTGAGCGAAACAGTTTTCCTCCATAGCAGCTGAGTTTGCCATGATAGAGACATATTAGTAAGTAATGTGCTGACTCAAAAGTTCTGATGAAATATTTAGCTTGCTTACTAGCTATGTACAATTTTGAATTATTTCGTACTTGTGCAAGTTGTTTCTCTGCAAGTTTGCAAGTACACAACAAAGACAACTCTACAAATATACATCTTTGAGAATCAAATCTGTCTTCAACCTAAAATTACACGTACTTCACACTCTTTATTTTCCTATTTCTCCAAAATTATGACTAAAGAAGAACTATAAATTTAAAGGAGGAGACATCAGTAAAGCTGTGAACAGCAATTATCTCTGGGTTTCAGCCTCTGAAGTTTAGAATTAGTTCACTGGCTTTCCCACATGGGGGCGGTAAAACAGCACAAACTACGAGCAATGAACCCAATTACAATTCCAAGTGGAAAATTATTACATGCAGATTTTTATAAAATTTAACCAATTCTTTATCTGCATGCAATATAAAATGTGTAATGCAAATGTTTATGAAATCAAAGAAGTTCAAAGTCTTCTCTAAGACTTCGCATAATTATCTAAAATGTACAGAGTAAGTCAAGTTCAGCAGTGGCTCAGCACCTGGGAAAAGAACCATTTTCATATTGATTTTTCACGTGTAAGGTTTGAGAGTCTTGCAGTAATCTTTTTCCCAACTGTTTGTGTTTATAAAATAATTTCAGAAAGTAGTAAAATGACCCATATAATTTATAAAATTGTTAAATTTACATGTGAATACATAAACCGAAGAGAAAAGAAACACCTGGGCTCTGCTAGGCTTTGGAAGTTTTGTAATAGCAATACCGAAACGTAACTGTCTGAACCAGGAAAAGAACGTTGCTCTTCTCAGCCTTAAAATTTTAGGAACCACTGGGAGAAAAATTTCAGAAAAATATTGAGTCATTAAAGAATGCTGACTGCTGCTAGGTAAGTGAAAATGGAGAAAAGAGGTACTGCAAATTAAACACTAATAATATGCAGGTGATCGGGCAGCATTTAAATAGCCCAGGTCCTCTGTGACAGAGGAAGAGATGGTTCAGCTTATATAAAACCTATAGTTAAAGTTCCGACCCCCAGGTCTGTCCCCAAATTCTTCATTTTGACACCTCCGAGGCTGTGGGTAGACAGACAGGGAAGTCTAGCAGAACTTTGTACTAAGACAGATAAAGCTGTGAGTCTGTTTCCCTCTGGGCCGAGAGTTGAGAACAATTCAGTGTGTGCTTGGACTCCTTGGATAACTTCAGCGGAGATCATCGCAGGGTGCGGATCTAAGTGCTGGCCTCGCAGAGCGCGGCTGTGGTCATTTCGGGTGCTCTTGCTCCTTCACACTGACAAGTGTCTGGGAGAGAGGCTGCCTGGCGGGGGACGTGAGGGACAGCTGTGCTGCTTGCACACCCGAGGCAGGTCTCCTCCGGGCCTCCGAGCCCGCACCCGGGTGCTTTGTGGTGGCCCTGCCATGTTTTCCTGGCTCCAGTGTGACCTTGGAAGATACAGCTGTGGAGCCCAGGATCAGTTAGGGCGACCGTGCTGCTCGTAACAGAGTCCCCGTTAGGTCTTCAAAACGGATGGACAGACGCCCCCGCCGGTGACCCGATGGAAGGAGTCAAGAAAATGAAACCGTTGAGTTTGGAGGGAAAACGCCTGGAAAGTGTAGAAATAAAGGAAAGAGAAAGAAAACCAGCAAAGGAGAAGCCGCGCACTCACCAGCCGTTCCCACTGTTGACGAGGTCCTGTCCTTCGTCCCTGACAGTGTCCAAGTGACTACAGCTCAGCCACATCTGGGCTTGAATACAGCGAGCCCCTCTGGGGCTCAGGTCACCCCGGTGTGCGCCCGGGACCGAGGGAAGACAAACAGCTGTGGTGACATGTGCTGTGTATTAATGGGCAAAAGACAAAAGGGAGAAAACAGGCAGAAACGTCAGTTGTGGGGAGGGAGCGAGGCTACGCCAGCTTTTCTACAAGAAATATACCAACATCACGGCCCTGTGGGCTCATATTCAATATCCCCGTAGTGAGCGACCCAAGCTAGCGGGACCCGGGGTGCTCATTTAAAGGTGGCACCTGGAACAGGTGTAGGTCAACGCTTGGAGCAGGTGCAATTTCTCTCCAGCGCCTCTCTGAATCTTTTCCGGTACCAGGGGTCGAACCCAAGTCCTTGAGCTTGTGAGGCAGGCCGCAGAACCACTGAGCTAAATCCCTGGCCCTCCTGAATTCTTTACCCAACTCAGCCTGTCTCCTCCAGGTGAATTACCTGCAAATTTGCTTGGATTTAGCGTATGGGTTTTACTTTGGCTGTTTTATTTTGCTCTTCGGTTACATTTGCGTCAGCCGAGTGGATTCATCCTTTGTTTCCGCCTCGCGCAGGTTCGCGTGTTCACGTTTTCCGTGGGTCAGCACAACTACGACCGAGGCCCCATCCAGTGGATGGCCTGCGAAAACAAAGGTGAGAGTGCCTCTGCCCGCGCGTTCTAGGAGAAAAATGTCTTGCCATTGTCGCTGTGTGTGTGGCATCGTTTCGCGTGATCTAAAGTTGTGAATAATTTGTGTCAGAATGAAGCAGAAGTGCAATTCTGATGACGCTTTCCATAGAGAAAACAAACATCACAGATTCTGACATGAGTCTTACATTGTAAGAGTTTCAGACATTGACCGTAAGACTTTAAACTCATAAAAGATACATTCTGTTGCATGTTAATCACTCAGAAGGGATATTATTTTATATGGAGAATTAGGAATGAAAGAATACCTGAATTTTATATAATTTATATACAACAGTGTGACGCATGTGTATGGTTTTTTCTCTGAGTAGCTAAATTAATTTTTTTAAATGCCTCATATATTCCTAGATAATTTTAAGTTTCACGCAGTGTGCCCATATTTCCTTTGTATTTAGAAAATGTATAATATTTGAAAAATAAATTGGGAAGCCATAGCAACAAGAGGAACTTGCCTATATTCAGAAAGTTATCTTTAGAAAGGTATTTTATATGCATATTATCATTGCATAAGTTTCTGCATCTTTTATAATTCATCTGGTGAATTATAGAATCTTTTGCTATCTAAGAAATATAGTACCATTTTCCAAAAAGCTTATACGGTTGTGAATATTTGTTAATCTGAATTCATTTTTATTTATATTTTCATTCTTGCTCAGTGTAGAAGTGAAAAGAATATCCTTTTTTTCCGTATAAAGCATAAAGTGATTTCTGTAGCTCTTCATTATGATGTAATATCTGTATTTATAATGTGTGTGTTTCAGGATATTACTATGAAATTCCATCCATTGGAGCAATAAGGATTAATACTCAGGTATGATTGCTTAAGTCTTATTTAAATTATTTTTTCAATATTCAAGAGTTTCTTTTACAATTTAAATATGTCCAGTGTGCTGAAAGCAGCTGAAAATGAAAGTAAGGTCCATAATAGTAGGTGTATTGAAATCATGCATATCGTGGGAATGTATTGGTCATTTCAGGATTCCCAGTATTTCCAAGCATCCAACATTCAAGGTAAAAATGAGTATGAGTATGAGAATATTGCTATTCTCATGTGTTAAAAACGTCATGAGAAATGAATAAAGTCATATTGACCAACAGTCTCAGGCAACTCGAACTTGATTGTCACGAATCATGCAGATGAATTCTTAATCGTATGGAGTCCTTAGCAGTCGTTATTCTGGACAGATTTATAAGCTCCTATTCAGAATGAGTGACCACCTCAGGTGTTCCGACCTTAAATTGGAGTTTCAAGGAAGTGATTTCTCTAATGTTTAGAGGAAAGCAAGTCTGTTAAGTAAATTTTGCAGAATTCAGTAATTAAGCTAACTTAAATATATACTACTCTAAAATATTCACAAGTCACTATTTAAAATCTTGGTTAATTCTAAATGTAGCTAAGAATCTACAAGACAGACGGAGCCATGGTCTAGTGGAGGCAGGCTGGCCTTTGTGGAACTGAATGACGAGGGCTTTGGGTGCTGAGATGAAACAGCACTGCGTTTGGGCCTGATGCCAGGAGTGGGCACAGCATTCCATTTATTTTTTGATATGATTAAATGTCGTGTGGAATTGCAGCCAAAAAGTCTGGGATATGAAAGCAAATCTGTGGCTGCTTTATCATTTCAAATTTGTTCGATTTCACACAGTAAACCACAGATCCTTAATAGTTTAGGTCAACATGAGAACGTTCACAAGGAACATATTTCACTTAGCATTGGGAATTCCACTTGTTACTGGGGAAAACCTGGAATGAATATATTGGATGAATAAATTATATAGTGGTGATTCAGGGTGCATAGGAATACCACTTATGGAATGCCCAAAGTAGCAATTTAGTGATCATACTTCTCCCTCTCTCAATAATCTGCTTCTGCATTCATATTTAACACTAGATTAACTTTTTCCTTTGGAAGCTTTTTTAAACACACAGCATCCCCAGTTTTAAACCATAAGTTTTTCTTCTTGTACAAATAGGAATATCTGGATGTTCTGGGAAGACCGATGGTTCTAGCAGGAGAAAAAGCTAGAAAAGTCCAGTGGACTAATGTGTACTTGGATGCGCTGGTAAGAGTTTGGGGTACTGAGCTGGAGATTGTGCAGAATGGCTTTTCCCTAGATGAATTTCTCCTTTACTCTTCAAGGAGCCCTTCCTAAAGTTCTTTGATCACAGAGGTCTTCACTAGAATTTAGAGAACTGATTAAAATTCTAGATTTGTATGAAATAGAGAACCACAAAAGTAATGTTATTTTGCATTTGATATACTGAGAACGTAGAATCCCTAACATTGAATCATAAAATTCTGACACCGGTAACTTCATAAATTTTTAATGTAAAAGAATAAAGCCAAAAGTAACGTGGAAGAGAACCTATTCATGAATTTTGAAGACAGTATTTTTCAAGTACACGTCAGCTAGTAGAAATATGTATGGCTCGCACAACCTTAGGCAGATTCACCAGAATTCAGAAGTACATTCAGTTAGACAAGCAAAAATCTCTCCCTGCCCTGAAATCAGCACAAACCTAATCACCTCTTCGTATAAAATCCCTGCTTTTAATTCAAACCCAGACATCTGTGTGGAAATAAGACTTTGAGATGATGGTTGTGGTGTGTGAGAATGTGTGGAATGATCCACTGCATGGTTGTTTTTTCAGTGCAGGAACCCATCATACTTCAAAACAGCAGCTCTTGGCCGGGGGACATTTCCCTCCCTGAAAGCATCTATAGACATCTCTGAGTGTCCTGGCCCAGGGGTAGGGCTTATAGCTGGCATCTAATGGAGAGAGGCCCGGGGTTCTCCTAAATTTCCTGCAATGCCCAAATGACCTATCCCTCAACCACAACAAAACATGATCCAGAGTTGAGAAATCTTGGATTGATATTGCTTTTGTTTTCCTGACACGAAAGTGATAGATATTTAATTACATCGGTTAATGTTTATCCATATGCTTGGTCGTACTTTGAAGGCTTTCTTAACAATTTACTGAAATCACATATTGGAGAAAGCCAAAATACTAAGCCCTGCAAAGTAAATGCTGATTCAATAATACCCTCTTCCCTACTTGGAATCCAATTATGTGTTGTTCTTTCTGTCCTAAATGTAGTGATGAACCCAAAGGGCAGAATGAAATCCATTTAGAATTACTTATCATTTGGTCCTTAAAAAGTAAACATATACAGGAAGTTAAAAGGAAACAGGCACTGTTACCAGCAGCCTTGCATGCGATGGAAGATAAAGAGCAGCTCACTCACCTCGAGTCCTAGCTGCAGTGCCTGCCCAGCGTTCCTTCTTGACGTCACTTGTTTATTTAAGGTCACGTGGTCATCGGAATCTGTGGCCAAATGCTTCCCCCTTCCAAACCCATCACAGAACAGTGTATACCAGGGGACTCGATAATCATGGCCTGTCGAGTTTCCTATGACCAAGGGTTCATTAACCAGAGCATCTGCGCTGCTGGCAGGGTTCTTCCTGATAGCAGAACTGACGTTAGGAAATGTCCATTTTACAAGCTGGAACTAAATATAAAATGAGGGCCGCATGATTTGGCCGTTCAGTGGGCACATGGAAGTCTTTTTTATTGATTTGGGAATGGTGTGACTCATCATGTACTTAAATTATTTTTATTTATTTATTTATTTATTTGGGGGATTTTTTTGAGACAGGGTCTCACTATGTAGTTGACACTGCCCTGGAACTCACCGTGTAGTCCAGGCTGGTCTCAAACTCACAGCGATCCTCCTGCCTCAGCCTCCGGAGTTCTGGGATTACAGGCGTGCGCCACCACGAGTGGCTCTTAAGCTATTTTTATAAACAGATACATACTGCATATCGAAGACTCAAAACACACGGTGTCAAATAAAGTTTTGTTAAAATAAAAAGGTACATTTCAGGACAAGATGTAATAAGTGTAATTTGGAATATTCAGTGAGCTCTGGCTTTACAAAAGAGGCCATACATTTGGGGTAGAATGGGACAGGAATGTTTTAAAATTTTTGACGTTTTTAGATACACATATGAGTTTTCTGTAATTGATAGTAAGAAGTAAGCTCTAATTTAAAATTTGTGTGAGGAGAAGGAATAATCCTGTGTTCACCTTTTGGGATGCTAGGACACAAGGACTGAAAAAAGCCTAGGAAAATAATTGTGGAGGTTCTCAATTTATTTGGGAGAAAAGTGAGTAAAATATGGAGAAAAATTTTATGAAAATAGATGAGCTCTGGTACATAAAAATGAAATCTGGAGACAGGAAATTTATCTGTTTCTTGTTTAATTTCCTGAAGTGTGCCCAGTGTCTGGGAGTATGGTAGACTTGTTTCGTCCTCTTGATTGATGAGGGCGATCCTAGAAGCTGAGTTCCACAAAGGAACTCAAATGTTAGCAACCTCAGATCTCATTTTAGGGCACATAGGACCATTTTGTAAGAAGCCTGTTATAGTACTTTGTACAAATGCAAAAGCGATGCAAAGAGAAAGACTGTGTTCATATACATCTTTTTTTAAATCATGGTGACATTTCAAAAACTACACAAATAAATTATAACTCAAACAGGAATCTCTCCAAAGTAATCTTCACTGAATATTAGCTTTAGAAGTTACTCTCCATCCTAACATTATTGAGGTGGAAGGTTTTCACTGAGAATATGAATTTGTGTGATTAAAGATATTTTCATTAACCTCCTCTTAAAACTAAATGGAAAGCTAATAGGTTCAACATAATGCACCTGCCTACCAACTACTTGTGGTTGTTCCTTCATTTTCTTTATCTAAAACAATTTTGTCTTATGTTTCTGGAAGCCTTTTCTGATTGTCCCAACTCTCTAAATTAGTGTCCATTGTTTCGGGGATCACCATGGGCACAAATGTGAACCACAGCCTTTTTAGGAATGTTCTCCATAAGTCTATGCTGTTTTTAGAATCCAAACAGAGTTGGTGACAATTTGGTTTAAGACTGTTTTTCAGAAGATCACTAAATATTTTTCCAGTTTGGCGAATTTGCTATTTCCTTAAGAAATGATTTTGTTGAAAATGTTTGACATGAAATAATAGGCATGCACACACACTCACACACACAACAAATGCACACACACACATACACATACACTCTGGCAGGAATATAAAAGCAACTATTAATACTAATCTCCATAGATTCATTTAATATATGAAATTATTTACATAGTGATTAATAGAATGGCATTATTTCTCTTATGCTACAGCTAGGATTTCCTAATTAACATCTGCAGTTCTTTCTACATTATTTTACTGTATTAAAATATATTTATTCTGGGGGAATACTTAGAAGTAATATTGCTACTTTTACATGATAATATTGATCTAGAAAATTCTAGAAAGACAATATCAGTAGTATGTTTCTATTTATGTTATTCAACTACCCATTTGTGATATAGCTTGAAAACTTTGGTGTAGCATCAGAAGCTTAAGAATGAAGCCACAAAAGTGGAATAAATCATTGTAAATTATTTTAATACCATTATGATTGTGGGGAACCATGATCATAAATGAACGTTCCCTACAAAAAAAAAGGCTAAGAATGGGCAGACTAAATGCAAAAATGAGAGACTCTGTGTTATTTCTGTAAGTTTATTTTATTTTGTTTAAGTTATATGTAATTCTCACTTAGAATATTATTTTAGGCATTGCATTCTTAAATAATTGCATAACTAGTTGTATTAATTTCAAGACATTTTATTGACTTTTCTAAAAATAAACTAATAGTTATTAAAACTTGTCACTACAATTATAACTTGAAGTCTCAGATTTCGGAGGCCAGTGCAGTAGGACAGAGTTGAAACTGTGGTTCATTTGTCTTTTCTCTCTGTCTGTTTTTAGGAACTGGGACTTGTCATTACTGGAACTCTTCCGGTCTTCAACAGAACTGGCCAGTCTGAAAATGAGACAAATTTAAAGGTTAAAAGTTAATTGATCAAATTAATAATAATAAATGATAAACTGGGACACTGCAACTCAAATGTGCACAGGGCCCCATCTGTGGCTGGAGGCCAATGGCCACCGCTGCTTACTGAGAGCTCCGGGAAAGAGAACCCCAAAGGCTGACTCTCGGCGTCCTGGCCACGCAGAGTGTCTCTGTTTAACGGTGCCCCGTGAGAACACAACAGTAGTGTGTGCACATTTTAAAAACCTACTGGAAACATTTATGGAGTTCAGAAAATATCAGAAGTCCATAGCGCTCTTTGCAGCAGATGTACATAGATATATACTTACAGAATCCTATCTCTTCTGCCCCCCAAACAGTAGATATTTTAATAATCCTGTAAGTTATAGGTCTGATGTATGGCTTTTGTCTAATTTTTAAGATGTAGGAAAGATACTTCATGAGTAAAAACACTTCATTTCTGTAGCACTGGTAATATTGTTAATGCAGTAAAATGCCACCTCTTGAACATTGTGAATCGTTACAAAATATCTTGTACCTATTTTCTCATTTGCTTAGTACTTTTGATTTACACAGGATTGCATCCCTATTTCTTAGCTTGATTCCAAGAGGTTGACTGCAGAAGTTGTGTTCAGTTTAATACTAAGTACTTTATGAAGTAGGTGATACTCCCTACTTAAAGGGATATGTATTTCTGGTTCATGGCTTAATGAAGTCCATTGTGCTTAGGCATTGTTTTCTCAGTTATAAATCTCAACCGAATTCTTTATTTTAATAAGATAGCCATGTAAAACATTAGTTATTTTTCCTTGGGGGCCATTACCATTCTTAAATATCTCTGAGTCCTAAATATTGGAGCTTGAGAAGATTGTTGTTTAAATCCTTCTCATGTGTGTTCGGAATTTTTATATTCAGAATTTTTATATGAGATAGGGTTTCACTAAGTAGCTAGGCTGGTCTGGGCCCACACTTTATATATGTTTTCTATTTTAAACTCAGTCATCAGGAATTCATGTAAGCTAAATAATAATGGTGATAAAATTGCAGAAAATAAAGCTGAGAATCGTTTTAACTGACAACAAATCTACCTCATCTTCATATAAATATTTAAGTGGCCATAGACTATAACCACTATTATAGTAAAGCCACAAACATATACCACAGTTGTGCAGAAACATATAACTTTTGGTATAAAACACACTGACTTCTTGCCATCTTCTCATAGAATCAGCTGATTCTGGGTGTGATGGGTGTCGATGTTTCTTTGGAAGATATCAAGAGACTCACACCGCGCTTTACAGTAAGATGCCCTTGCTCTTCTCATAGCCTGTCCTAGTTTTGAGCTGTGTACTATGTTAGCTCATCCATCATGCCTTTAGTAATTCTCAGAAATTAGGTGCTGTTGCTTTAGCAGAAAACTAAGTGTCTAAAAACATCTTGAAAATACCATATACAGATTCCATGTTGCATGCTATAAAATGTGTTTTTAATAAATAATTTAAATAAATAATTTTTCTAAACAAACTAATGCATTTCTGTGACTCAGGACATCTATAAATGCTTTTTGCTTTTTTTTTCAGCTGTGTCCCAATGGCTATTATTTTGCAATTGATCCTAATGGTTATGTTTTGCTGCATCCAAATCTTCAGCCAAAGGTATGTATAGACTGTGTTCACAGTGATTCATACTTGGCAAACTTAGTGCTTCTTGTCCTTGTTCGGATTGTCACTTTAAGATTCTCTATGTAGCATTAAATACAAAGGAATAGTCTGCAGTGTGATTCCTTGATGACAAGACTACAGCTGATACTAAAGAGAAATGTGAAAACAGTTTTTATCTTTTCATAGCAGTTAGAGGAGCTAACGCTGTTTCTGCACAGATGGCCACTGTCGCCTCCTGGGCTTGGTCCTCACAAACAGCACTGGCGGGCTTGGCTGCAGCTGCGGGTGGGGGTGCCGCACACCCCAGGGACCCGGGGCCCATGGTCCCATCCTCCAGTGCGCTCCTTTTCACTTCCTCTCCTGGCTTTCCTTCCACTTGGAGGCAGGCTTGGAGAGACGTGTGTCAAGCTCAGTAGGCAAAGACTGTGCGGTGAGCCTCAGATTCGGACCGTGTTTTACTCTGTGGGTTAATCTGGAAGTCAGGAAATTCTGCTGATCAGCCATTTGACCCTCATCCTCATGCCTGCTTTCCCAAGATACACACAGTGTTCCCAAAAAATGTCTCATTTGACTCTTTTCACTTTTCTTTTCTGGTACCGGGGACCAAACTTGGGACCTTGTGCTTGCAAGGCAGGCAGCGGCGCCACTGAGCTAAATCCCAGGCTCTCCGTCCACTTTTCATTGTAGCTTGGTGAGGCATTAATGACAAAACTGATTTAGCTAGCTGTAAAATTAGGCAACATCCTATATAATCACAATTTTATAAATATCTTTATGTTCTTGTTTAACTTTGAAGATACATTAAACCATGCAGACTTCCTTATGTACTGCCCATTCATCAGAAGCACAGGAGTATGTGTGTACACACACACACATACACCCACACACTCGTGTACTTGTGGCCTTTAAATATTGTTCAAATCAAAAATTAAGAGCCGCTAGGGCTGGGATTTAGCACTGCCCCTGCCTTGCAAACACACAGTCCTAAGTTTGATCCCTGGTACCAAAAAAAGAAAAAAATTAAGTGCCATTGTTGCTAAGTATAAAACTATATTATATAAAATGCATTACTTTAATATATGCTAAAAGATTAGACATTATACTTAACTTCCCTATTTTGATTTTTCCTACTTTTGAACATATTTTCATTTAGTCCATGAGGGTGTGAAGATCGGCTTCACAAATGTAGCTGGTGATCATCCTCCCATTACTTTTTAATATATTACTTTCATAGAAATGTACCCTAGCTACTTTTTGTGTTATTAAAAACTATCACACTTCCCAAAAGCAGGTCATATTAAATTCCTCTTAATATAATTGTTTATAGCCAGCTAATTATCCTAGAATTTATGCTGTAGTTGAAAACATTTATATCTTTAAATATTAAAGAAGGCTTAAATTTTTGCATTATGTTTGGTCTTTGTATATTGAAAGTATTTTAAATAATATCCTCCTAAGTAATCTAAAAGCAATAAAAATATGAAGTGTTGAAATGTGCAAAGGATCCCTACTTTTCTGATTGTAGACCTTATCCTTCCTCTCTGGGAACTAAAATACATTGTAGACAAAAATTAATAATGATAGAAATATATGTGTGAGGGAGATATATAAATCCATAGTCCAATGGTAATAGCAGTTTAGATTGTTTTCATGGCAAAAAAGAAGAAATAATTTGAAAAGATTTTCCCCATTCACCCTTTTCTAATGACCAACATTATATATGTGTGTGTGTGTGTGTGTGTGTGTGTGTGTGTGTGTGTGTGTGTGTGTGTGTGTGTGTGTGTGTGTATGTATGTATGTATGTATTATCTTATTACTGCTTGAATGATGTTAGTACATATTTCACTCATGTTTGGAATAATCAATTCACCAACTTCATAAAATCACACAAAAAATATAAATTTTGTAGAACTGTTCATGAAAGTTTAGGTAAAATTAGCATTTCATATTTTAGTGTAGATTTTATTAAAAGAAGCATGCAACAGAAAGACATTTCAAAAAATACTGACAATTACCAAGAGAAAACAAATCTGTGTAATCATGTGCTATTTTTTCCTGAAACTTGTTCGTGAATTTTCATGCTTCCCAGGATAAACGCTATGGTTCCTATTTCTTGGGTAAAAGTGCATGCTATGCAGATTTGTACAAGAACCTCACAAAAAAGATGACACAAGGTGTCTGAGAAACTGAAAAATACGGAGTCAATATAGTAGCAGATGCTCTGCTAACGAAATTATTCTTTCATCAATAATTCATCACTAAAAATGAAAGAGAATGAAGTCCGTCCATAGTGCTCATTATTATTTGATGAGGTAGAAAGATAGTGTTCTGCGAGTATGCACTCCTTGCTCAATATCTTGTATTTCCTTCCTGACATTATAATCTTATTTCAGAACATTTCATTATATTGCTGTGTTTTGCATGAGGATATCAGTAAATGGAGTAACTATGAACTTCTTACATACCTGACTTTCTAGGGAATCGTTATATTATCAAAATATACTATTACCTGAATTTTTTGATAATGTGGCGTTTGAATTCTGGCTTACCTCAAAATGCAGTTTATATTTCTTTTCATTAAAATACCCAGGTCTATTTGCCAGCTCTTTCATGTTAACGAATTCCGACATATATATTTATTGAATAGGGAATTATGAGTAATCTGCATTTTCGAACATTAAAATAGATTTACAGCGTTACGGTAGAATCTGCCATTAGTTCAACAGACACATTTGATATCTTTGGAGAACACAAAGGAACAAATGTTGATGTTTAAGATTTTGTTAAAGACAGAAACAACGAACAAACGTAAAAAGAACGGACAGTCAGTGGTTTATAAATGACAGGAAGGTCTTCCTCGCAGGTCTCAGGCTGGCAAGCTTCCTGCAAGATGGGCCTGGCCCTTCTAGACGGAGAGCTCCTCACCCTGACTTCGGGGTGGAAGGCGCGCGGGGCGAAGGGGCTCTCTCCACCTTATTCTTTGTTGTTTTGATTTTGTTTTTGCGTTTCGTTTTGTTTGCGGGGCCCTGGGGATCGAACTTAGAGCCTTGGGCGTGGTAGGCGAGCCCTGTACCACTCCGATTCACTCCCAGGTTCCCACTTTTCTATCAAGGCCTGAATCCCATCGGCAAGGCCTGTGCTTCGGAAGGAGTTGCGACCTGTAGGTCATCGCCAGCACAGTCTGGTTGAGGAGGGCAGAAGAGGACTCGGGAAGCACACTGACGACGTTCATATTTCACATGTTTGGCCCATGTGCGATCTAGCGATGCCTGTTTCTCAGTCTCTCCCTTTCTCCTTCACCCTCTTTCCCTGCCTCTCTAGCTTTTAATAAAAAGAAAGTTTGATTCGAGGCAAGGCAATTCCAGGAAAAATGCAAAATAAGAACATTCTTGTCTCTTAAACATTTTTACTAGCATACCGGTTTTTATTCACTGGAAATATTTGTAAACTTTTCATTTTTAGCAAAATTGACTCATCATGAACTTTATGTGGTACCAGATATTTTGAAGTCTAAGTCTATCAGTTATATATCTAGCTCCTTGTGTGGTGGGGGAGGGGGGGTTGAGACAGGGTCTCACTACGTAGTTGAGACTGCCCTGGAACTCACTATATAGCCCAGGCTGGTCTCAAAGTCACAGCGATCCTCCTGCCTCAGCCTCCCAAGTGCTGGGATTACAGGTGTGCACCACCATGTCTGGCTTGTGTGTCTATTTCTGATCAAGCAAATATCTGAGCCCCACACTGGTTACAATACGGAAGGCTTCCCTGTGACGATAAGCAGTATGATAAATTCCCGTTTCTCTGTTGCTTCAGCCTATTGGTGTAGGGATACCCACAGTTAACTTAAGACAAAGAAGACCCGGTGTGCAGGTAACGGAGTGAGGGTGGCCGTTGCAGTGATTCCCAGTTTGCTAAATCCGAATTGAGATCGAGCTTCTGCTCTTAAAGCTTACAGTTAAAGCTGCCTCTCCTGCTTCAGGCTTGCAGAGCATGAGACGGAAATGAGCCTTGGCTCTCGATAAACTGAAGCAGAACTGTACTGATGATAGGAGAGGGCGCGCCTTAGCTAACTACAGACTGCTGGGTAAAGTCTGCAATAATCTTAACAATCAGAGTGATCACAGTGAGAGGGCTTCTAAAAAGGAACACTTATGATGCATCGTGAAATTAATGTCAACCTGTGATTCTAACCGTTCGCTGGTAAAATTGCGTCCTAAGTGCATGTAAAAGTTCAGTTTCAGTGTGCTAACTTCCATAAGTTAGACATTTTAAGCCAAAATTTCTTTGAATTTCTACAAGTGTAACTGGAGTTTAGAAGTCAGATAGATGTCTGTGCGGCAAATTAAAATTTTTCAAAATAGCAAATAAATAGCATGCGTTTTTACTGCCACACAAACTCATTGCAAAACCTTTCCTCCACTGGCAACAAAATGTCAAAGATATTACGTGTATTCACATTTCTGTAGGTACGAATCAGCATAAAGGAGACTTTCTGCAGCTTTGAACAGGATTTCAGCATTTCGAAGGCACTTCAACACTATTTAAGACCTTCCCTGTAAACCTACCGTTTGCTGGACAGAAGTGCTTTGACATCATAGAACAGAGGCAGTATGGGGCGAAGCAGGGAGGGCAAGGCCTCGGTTCTGAACTGATTTCTGGTTCGGTTCTCCTGGTAGCAGACTCAGAGTCCCGAAGCCCAGGGGACCGTGCACTGATATGAACTTCCTGCCCATGCTGCCTCTGTCTATATGCATGTGTGCTAATCACAGGACCCACGTCCTGTGCACTTTGATGTAATGTGGCTTCTGAATCAGCGCTAAAGCCTCGTGAGTTTTCCCACAGTACCAAGACCCCGAGCTAGAAGACACGTTGGCCCCCTCCCAGCTTAGGGCCTCTGTGCCAATCTGAATTCCCTGTTGCTGCATGTGAAAGCCTTCAGGTCTTTTATGACTCCTATAGACATTAAAATCATGTGTATACCCTTCTTAAGTTAGTAAAATGCTGTTACTCTCCATGCATGTTTCTTTTATATATTACCTTAAATTATGCTTTTTATGCAGTAATGTGCATTTTAGTGATTTATTTTTGCAGCAACTTCAAATATCGCATGTAAAGTTACAATATAATTAAAAAATAAATGACACAAATAATGCTATGTTTCATTTTTGTTTTCATTCTAAGGAAATCCCAAATGGCAAACTAGCAACCACCTAAGACTGCTCAGATTGAGGAGTATTTATGAAGTATGAAACGTTCTGATGATACTGACTCCATTATTCGAATCTAAAATTTATCCTTGCATTTTTGCCTTTTATTTGAACAAATGAGCTCATCATCATGTCAGTTGATATCCAAAGTTTGCGATAAGGAATATTAGATACTTAAAATCAGATAAAGAACATGTGTGGTAGGATACGTGTAAGCAGGGGAGCTCTTCTCTGCTGTAGAGAAAGATTAACTTGAGTCATGTGTGGAAAAATGGACACACACCATGAACACACTGATAAATTAAAAAGTCATACACACCAGCTTAAATATCCCTTTGTTCCGCTAATAAGAGAAGTCCCAAGTGCAAATAAAGAGCAACATAAGAGCCAGCTAGTAGGAACCAGAGAGATCTTTTGGGAAAGGGAAGGGACCGAAAGATGCAGGGAGGAGGGTGGGTGACAAACAATCGCTGTGTGCTTTGCCTGTGTACCAAGTCCTGCCAGGAAGGCCATGTGTGTGTACCGCAGTCATGCAGCGCTAAAAAAGGAAAACTTAAAATTGTTGAAAAACTTTCAAAAGTGAATTAATAAAACCAGAAAGAATAATGACCCTGCAGGAACTAGGCACCAAATAGTCTCTTTCCTCAAGCCTGGTTTTTAATTTTTCAGTGCCCCTGCCCTTCAGGAAAAGTGGTCAGCTGGATTGCCATTTATGACTTGTGCTTTGGGATTTTCCTTCCCTGGTTTCGTTTTCCTCTCTGTGTCTTTGTATGCTGGATCAGGACATGGTCTTCATGTTGCCAAACGCTCCTGGTAGCTCCTTCTCCCTGCATGCTGTTTGGGTCTGCTCATGCTATGCATCATCCGTTGCATGTAAGATAAACATTCTTACTTCAGTTTTTGCCTTATCACTTCAGTTGCTTTGACTTGGTTATTAAATTTTTAATGCTGCTGTAATGCTGTTTGTATGAAATAGTTTATTTTATGAATCTTTGGATAAAGAACTCTGAAACATAGACTGACCTATCATTAGAGACTTTCTAGGTTTCATTTTACAAATGAAGGATTTATAGGATTTTCAACAGTGGCTTGAGTTTTTTCATGAAACATGCTCTATTCCAAATAATTTTTCCTTCTAAATGACCCTTCCTTCAAAGAATCAGTGGTTGGTACCTTTGAAAAAAATCTAATACTTTGAGTACCATCGATTCTTCTGATTATAGTAATAGGCTATTTTAATTTAAAAAGGCAAGTGACATTTTTCAATTAAAAAAGACAAGAGGGGGCTGGCGGTTTAGCTAAGTGGTGCTGCCACCTCCTTCGCAAGTGCAAGGTCCTGAGTTCAATCCCTGGTACCTCCCCCCCGAAAAAGACAAGTGAGGTTAATTTTAATTGGCTCTAAGATTCATCAAAAACCATGAGAATTAAAGTTCTTGTTACTTAAATGGATGTATTCCTTGAAGGAAGGCATTTTGCTGTAATTATGAAATAAATACATGCCATATATACTAAGTTGTTCCACATACAGATAGGGTATGTGCAATTCCAGTGTATTTTTCACTATTGCTGCTGTCCTGGGGAGTCTGTTCTCCTGAAATGGCATGGGAAGTATTGATGATCTGGACATTTGGGGGCCATTATTAGTAAAATTCCAGTGACCCTTGCCCTAGATTTGCATTTATTACTGTTATGTAATTATCAGATTTGGGTAATATTTATTTTAATAAACATAATAACATCTAGTTTCTAACATTTTGCAATTGGAACATGACATACGTATTGTGATTTTTATTCTAGTGAACTTTGGAATTCTAGGGTGCAGCATCTCATTACTTCAGCAGGGTTTAAGATGCGTTTGTTCAGTTTTCAGCTGGTTCCGTATATCTTCATTTTGTAACTGAGAAATCAAAATAATTTAATAACACGATGCACACTTGTTACTGTCTTCCGCATAGAACCCCAAATCTCAGGAGCCAGTCACTTTGGACTTCCTGGATGCAGAGCTGGAGAACGACATTAAAGTGGAGGTGAGTGTGTCGAGGGTAAACAGGCCTGGGGTCAGAGGGCTGGATCCTTCCGATCTCCCGCTGTCCGTCCAGCGGCCACGGCGCGTGAGGTTGTCTCAGTTCTGTGTGCATACACGTGGGTGTTCTTCGTCTTTAAAAATGTCTTCACCCCAGAGACACCCTGTCCTCATCCCCAAGGTCAGATGGCAAGGAATGTCTGATTCAGCTGGGTGTGGTCTTTGTCCTTTTCTTTCTCCTTCATGAAGCTATGTGCACTACTTCCGTTTAAAGTTTAAAATCTCTAAGATGTATCTTGCTATGCAGTTAAAGTTTGGCGTAGCTCCGGCCACCAAACTAGAGCACGAGCAAGCGAGGAGAGAAGCTGTCATGTTGTCTTGGGAGCAAGTGTCTATTTTAGTGTAAAACAAATCACATGTCACTTAGAGTGCGAAGGACTTCCGTTAATAATAAAGACGATGCTTTAATACTAAGATAGTATTTGTTGACCACATGATACATTGCAGCCAAATTCTCAAGAGAATTTGGAAATAAGTGCTCTCACCGTGTATCATGCTGATGACATTTTGGAGGTAGAGAAGTTAGTTTGTCTACCTCACGCAGACAGCAAGGGGCAGACCAGCCTTTCTCTGTCAGGCACACACTCTTAGGTATTTTTCCAGATGAATTAATTCCTTTGGTCTACGCAAAGGCTTCTGTATTTCTATTATAATTTATCACACTTATTTTAATTTGTACTGGACCTGTGCATTTTGCACATTGATTCTCTCATTGAGCAGCCACAGGATTTGATTACTTATTCCCAGTACCCTGGGACTGGCATAGTTCTGGGTTGTTGTAGGCGGTTAATAGATATCTGTGGTAGAGTGTGTGATATAATAAAAGAGGGCAAAGTAAGAGGAGAATGACGTCCACTGAGCACCGTAGTGCTCTCAGTTGACCTCCAGGTTCAGCCTCCGAACGTCTTAACTAAATTAGAACAAGTGTGTGTTCTGCTCTTGTCAAGTGATTCTTGTTTCACCCCATGCTTATTTACTTAGTATCTGTGGTTACTAAGAGCCAAATTGAAGTCCCCACATGAGGGATATACAATGGAAAATAAGGAAAACTCGGAGGAATTCCAGAGCACTGGAATATTTTGTGATAAATGTGACCCGACTTGTTTTTAAAGATTTGGGAAATTGTAAGCTGTGTTATTTTAAGTCCCAGTAGCTCATTATAATTTTCAGTTATTCAATTCTTCTGCTAAAGAGGATAGATAAAAAACTAAAATGTATAAAGATTACTCTTAAAACATCCCTTCTCATGAAACTGATTATTTGGGTGAAATAGAAATTAGAAGTGTTCCACACTGCATGCTAATTCTGTAAATACATGTACATTTCTACTTCCCAGTGATTACCTTTCACTCAAATGTAGCCAGGCTATAAGTTGGATAATTTTCTACTAATTATATTCGAAATTAGTGACTGGTTAAAAAGTTTATTATGGGTATTTTTAATATTTTTAAAATAATGTAAGATAATTATGGTAAGGTAACTTAAAATAAATCCCTAGGAAATAACTACCAATAATGGTAGAGCCAATCATCTGTTCTTATTCAGTGTGTTTAAAACAAGGAAAACCTTTGAATTATGATGATATTAGTTATCACACTTTAGTAGGTGTGATACTCCTGGGATGAAGTAATTATTTCATTTTCCCTTAGATTCGAAATAAAATGATAGATGGAGAAGGTGGAGAAAAAACCTTCAGAACTCTAGTTAAATCTCAAGATGAGGTAAGAATTAGTTCACACTTCTTCTCATGTATAAAACGTATGTGCTAAGAGTAAGTGATATTGGTAATTTGTCTTTGCTGTCTGCTAAGCCAGTATTTACTTACAAAAGAGATGTCTCTAGTGAACAATTTTTTTTTTATTTTCAAGCCAATAAAACACTTTTAAAAATTTCACCAGGTTATTTTTAACTTTTTTTATTTTTATAAAAATAATGCTTTAGGTTTCTTGAATGATTTCAAAAATTACATTGTTTAAGATTATCTTTGAAAGCCATATTGAGTCTTTCCTTTATCATTATAAGACATTGAATGCACAATGTAGTTTTGTGCCATGTTGTAGACAATAGTGATAATGAAAACTTGAGGTTAATATTTAATAACTGTGTGTGACATGATGTACACTTTGTATTCTAATCATTGTGTTTCAAATGTTATTTTGCCTTTTTCTGTATTTTGTGTTCATTTGATTCTGGTTTGACTTATCTTCTTTTAATGTTTATACACTTTATAATTTTCCTGCATTTAAATCACCTGATAACACTACTGCCTCCACCAAGCACTGGTTATGTAATAAACTGATTTTCTGTTTCTAGTACCACTTCTTTGTCTGGGGATTATTACGTCTGTCAATTACTAGCCACCTGCTGAGTAAAGGCACATGTTCACATAGTTAATCTTTCAGAGAATCTAAGACTCAGAAGACTTTGTGCCTGGAAATTTAAGATTTTATAAATAGCATTACTTATGTGCTTCCCTTGAATTACCATCCTATTTCGAGGCATGCTTTTCATGTGAATTCCTCACTAGGTCCTTCCCAAAGTGGACGCAGGATAAGAGCAATGCTGCCGGATGAGCGGGTGGCTTTCTCATTTTCGTGTTGTTAGAATACAAATTCCATGGTCAGGTTCCGTGTTGACCTTATGGGGAAATTTGGTTGAGTTCTCATCAAGTTCAGTTCATGGCCGGAATCATAGAAACAATTGAGTTCATGAACCAAACTACCACTGTACCTGTCCCCAGAGCCTAAGTCTACACATACTTTTTATTTATTTATTTTATTTTTGTTTTTTTGAGACAGGGTCTCACTATGTAGTTGAGACTGACCTGGAACTCACTGTGTAGCCCAGGCTGATCTCGAACTCACAGCAATCCTCCTGCCTTGACCTCCCGAGAGCTGGGATTACAGGCGTGCACCACCACGCCAGGCTTACACATACATTTTAGTCTTTATTGATTACTTTCTAAAAATCATAACAATTACAAAACTGTACTGATGCCTTATTTGGATTTTAAGATTGATCTTATAGGAAAATACGTGTTTATCTTTTCTAGGTATGGCACTTAACAGGGATGTTTAAGGTGTAATATCTTCCATTCCAGTACCATTTGGCTTAATTTTGTTCCGTGTTTGAGTTCTGTACATCAAGATCAGACATGGTCTGTGAAGTGCATTAGTTTTTGTTGCAGGAAATCATGTACTTTCCACACCTGAGAGGTAGGAAAGGCCGAAGTTAGCACATTCCCCAGTGTTTGACCCGATGAGTTGCCTGCGATTTTAAATTTCTCACCTGTGAAATGCTTCCCATGGAACTTCTCCTCACTCGGTACTCCTGCTGAGTACTTCTCACCAAAGCCTGTCTCAGAGCGACTGGTGAACTTTTCTTATAGTCAGATCTTTTGGGAATCAAAATTATTCAGCAGGAAAGTAAATCTGTGGAACACATGAGAAATGATATGTGAGCTCCAATTTAGTGCATATAGGCAAATTCCCATTTTCTTAATGATATTTTTGTGGAGTTACTACTGAAAATAAGTTTAAAACAATTGAAACAGTTCTGCTTAAATGTATGCTAAATGAATCTTATTTGCCCAAATCTGAAAATCGTTTTGATTACATGTACCCCCGCCAGTAATCCTGTGTTTACAACTATCTGCTTGGGCTTAAAGACAGAATATAGCTCTGCTGTTTCATGTAGGAGTTTACTGAAAATATTGGAAAAAAAATGTACTTGCAACTATAAAAACTTCCTCAAAAAAGCTAGTTTGAGAATATCTTCAAGCTTTGTAGAAATTGGAAAATAGCTTTAACTAAAAAACTAGGTATTAACCATGTTGGAAATTGCCTGTATGGCTGTTTATTACAAATTAAAAACAGATGATCATGATCATCTGCTGCTCATATTGCAAAGGTGATCTCCGTACCTGATACTCTTTTGATGCTTTCTTATAACTTGTTGAACAATGCTAATTTTCCATGGGTTTTGTGGTTAGTAGATCTATGGGAACAGTGTCACTTAAATTCTGTAAGGAATTTTAGTGCCCAAATACCACCTCACAGGTCCTCCTCACAGTCTCTCGGTCCATGCCCCACAGTCATAGTGCACTTCACCTGTATAGACAGCATTGTGTCATTGTTATAAAAATGAATTTGTCATCTGACACTTTACTTTGAAATTGTATGCACCTGATATCCTTATTAAGTCCTATTTTTTTAATCAGTAAGTTATGGGAAATCATAGCTATGCTAAGGGTTTGGCCAAATGAGGGAGATGACCGTCAGGTACGCAGAGGACTGTGGGACACCAACTTGCTCATAATGAATGCTACTGCTCTAGTGGGCACGATGAGACCGAGGTGCCTGTGCAGGGGAAGAGCTGCAGGTGTGCCGTCACTGTGCCCAGCAGAGGAAAGCAGGAGCATGGTTTTACTATCATTCAGAGGCTCTATATGAAGGATTCTAGTCCATGACGTAATTTAGCTCCATACTTCCTATACCTAGTGGAGTTAGGTATTTTTCTAACTCAGTGACACTGAAGCTTTTCCCTTTACGATGCCTTGTTAATACTTTAGTCAGAACCAGTACTAAGCTAGCCATATATTTCCATCTAGGCACACTGAGTGCATTCACTCCTGACATGCTTACTCACTCGGTAATGTACTTGGAAATGAAAGTATCTGAACGTTCTCTAATATTTCATAGTCCTGTTTCACCATTAAAATTTGTTTCTCAGGAACTGTTCTCAAAGTGTTGAGGATACTGCTTTGGAATAAGTGCTATCGATTTGGAAGACTGTCATATGTCTCTAAATTTTGTTATGTGGATACTTACTCTCTCCTAAAGTTTATTGCCCACACTCATAACAGAATAAATAAATGTAGAATGGAATATATCTGACAGTCGAGGAGAAAGGTACTGTATTGTTTACCTCGTCAGTAAGTAGCTGTTAGTGCTTTTGATGTAAATTTACACAGATGTGAACTTTCTTCTAGAGATACATTGACAAAGGCAACAGGACATACACGTGGACCCCAGTGAATGGGACAGACTACAGGTAACCAGCCGTACTTACATGTGTGTTACATGCTAGGAGCCATTCCTCCAGGGGAGAATGTTGCCTGCAGTCCTAAGCTATTTTCAATAGAAAAAACTCTCTCCAACATAAAAATATATTGCCATCATAGAGACTGATTTGCTGAATGTAAAAGATGGGAAAATCTATCAACATAGAATTTGGAAATGAAAATATGATGTATAACTGCATATTTAATATAATTACACTAGTCCTGAACATAGACGAAATCTCCATAACTATAATTTAGAGTTAAACTTCTACCGACTCTCTACTTTGAGCTCCCATTTAGTTTACATTGCTGTCTTTGTGTTGAGAATTAATCTAACAACAAAGCTTCTCTCTTCCTGGTAGCATCTCAGAGTAAATCATTAGCTGGTAACTTCCCCCAGTTAGCAGCTGTCTGGGATCATCCCGCAGACCAAGCCTTGGGGAACTGGCCAGCCCACTGTCAGTGAAGTCCTGGAAGTCACCCTCGTGTCTTAAGTTCACTGAGCATCTCCTGCGTGTTCTTGTTTTACCCTCCTCCACGCTCAGGGCTCTTGCTGTGGTCCTCCTCCTGTGTTCTGGTAGCACTGAGGCTCATGCGGTGAGTGTAGTGTTCTTGTTAGATACCCTTTCTTCTTCCTCTCGGACACTTCCGTCTTGGAACCTCACGTTACCAGGCCTCACAACCTGCCATTCCCTCATGGACGGTCGCTTCGCTCTCGGTACCGGAAGCCTGGATCATTGTCACTCTTGCCTGCATGCACATAGGTCGGTGTCCCTCACATTTTGGGTGACGTACCCACACTGCTGTGAAATAAAGTGGAAATCATTTACTAAAACACACTTTGAAAGATTAAAAGCTCGAAAAGATGTTATTAGATTCCACAACATAAAGCGAGTGTATCAAATTGTAAATTCTAAAAGCTTTCTCTCAATTTCTGCATTTTTTCATGGTGGCTGTAGGGGGCGCTACTGTTAGTTTGCAAATGGGAAGGCCCATGGGCTGCAAGTAGGTGGTACTGACTTGGCAGACCGTGGTACCAACCCTCCTATTTTTTGACCTCCTTTTCTCTGCCGATCTTGTCAGCCCAGTATCTTAGCCACCTACTCCAAAGTTACGGTCTGCAATGCTTACAGTCTAGCCTCACGTCTTTATACTCTTGAGTTGGAGATTTCTTCACCCACCTCTTCGATCACTGCATGCGAGCTTTCTGTCGCCTCTCATGGAGCCTGACAACGGCACTCCTTTTGCTCACCTGGCACTAAACCTGCCATCCCTTCTCTGTTCCCATTCCTCTCCTTCATTCTGCACACCTGTCTTTGCTCAGCACAGGCAGCCTGGGCACTTGGCTCCTGCACACGCCACCAGATGCCATCGCAATACCCACACATTGGGCAAAATGCTAAACCCTGTTAAGTTCAAATGGTTTCCAACACAGCACTAGAAGCAGCCAGAGAAAAATCCCTATGAACTCGAATATCCCTTAAAATTCCTGAACTGAGCCTCGGGTGTGCGGTGGTGTTGCCTGGGCATCTCCGTTCTGCAGTGATGAATTTCTACACTTGCACTGCCTCCTCTTCTTTCCCTTGGGCCATGATTGTGCTTCCGTGTACAGAGAAGAGGTCAGAGAGAACTTCCACGCCACAGCAGTGCATAACTCGGACCTGTAGCTCTGCCTCCCGTCTCTATTTCTGCTCTTAACACAGTGGAAAGGAGGATCCTGACCTTTCAATGCTGTTTCTTTCTCCTCAACCCCAGCAGTAGTTTCTTCTCATTCAGTGAAAGCCACAGTTGGCCACAGCCATCACTGTCAGCTCAACTGTCTGCATGGTCTCTCAGACTCTCCTTGCACCCTGGATGAGCCACCCTTGCTGCTCTGTGGGCACTGGTGCCCTCCTCCCCAGAACCTGTCTGTCCCTCTCTCTAGGAGGCTCTCGGAGGTTAGAGATTGCTGCCTGCTTCACTTATTTAATATAATCTTTTCTATTTTTCAAATGAGGAGTTTACTTTGACAGACATAAGTGACTGGGCTTAAGGGAGTGTTACAGCATGTTTAGTTCAGTTAATCACGGTTCTGTGAGTCGCATAAACATTGCATGAGCTCTGCCATCCATCTGATGGCACACGCTTTATTAAGATTTAAAGTCTAAGAGGAAATAAAGCAGTCTTGCAAACATTGCATGTGCCAGCACCTTCAGCTCTGAGTGTCCGCAGAGAACTTCTCTGTAAATATATTGAAGAAATGACTGCCGGCTGAGTCGGACATTGACACACGAGATTTCCTGCGGAGTGGCTTGCAGCTGTGAGCAGCATTAGGTCTGCAGGGCCACAGAAAGCACATTTGAGTGCCCACCTTAAAACTTCTGCGGCCTTCCTCCTGGGCTGCCACACTATTTCTGTCCTCTATCCGAGGGGTGGCAGCCCCGTGATAGAATGTTCTTGGTTTTAATTAGAAGTTTCTCTTGGCAGTAAATGCTGATAGAGCAATACAAATGTCCTCTTCTCCCTTGGGAGGAATTTGCAGGGTATGGTCTTCCGATGCCCCATAATTCTGCACCACCTTTTATAAATGGCCAGAGAATCCCGAAGGGTCATCTCATTTTCACACTGACGGTGCTGCTTATTCTAACTTTAATCTCCGCCACCACTTGAAGCCACCTGGAAGATGAATGTAGAAATTGTCACCAAGTCTACATTACATTTTATGTCCCTGACCTTCCGTATTGGGAAAGTCTATACTTCACGAGGCTGAGGATTTGGAAATCAGAGGTGACATGCAAGCACTCATTTTGCCATCTTTCCTGCATCACAAAACTCCAGCAAGCAAACTCTCAATGCCCCATCTCCATACAGTGAATTTTTAACATTTGCATTCAGGAGAAGCAAAGTCGGAAATTTCCTATTTGGTCTTACTCCACACTGTCCTTCAGTAACAAGTGGTGAGATCATAGTTAGGATTTCAGTCTCCAAGCTTCGGTACCTGAGGCCCGAGTGACTGAACGAATCTGTAAATGCCCCTGCACCCCGCAAAATACCGGAAAGCTTAGAGTGCAGACTTACCTGTGCACCACGGAAACAGGTTAACTATGGAAAGTGTGATTTGGATGACTTCATTGGTCGTGCCATCAAGTGTTGTGTGTAGAAAGTAGTTTATTGGTCCAGAGAGTCAGAGAGTTGGATGCTTTCTGCACGGGTAGCTCGCGAGTCTCCTTCTGTATTTGGAGCACTGGCAGGAGTGTAGAGCGCGTACGGCGGCCCCACTGCTGCCGGGGAATGTGCAGTCCGAGTCTGCTAGTGACTCTAAAACACCAGTATACTTAGACACGCTGCATTAATCGTGATGTCCAAATGAGTGAGGCTTCCCTGGGTACCTGTCTCTTCCGGGGTGTCCTGGAACGGAGAGTGCTGAACTGCTTGCTTCACGGGCTTTGTTTGAAGTGCTTGGGATGTGGCCCAAGATTTGCGCTGAGATGTCCTCTTTGGAGACTGGCACAGGCCTGTGACCTCAAGGGGGCAGGCTGGTGCCCGAAGGACACCGCAGCTGTCGCGAGTGGGCACTCTGAAGCTGACCCCAGGCTCCGAGTTTTAAAATAGGCATTTAGTGCCTAAAAACACATATATTTCACATGACTCTGTGCAGTGTGCCAATAGTCATAGTGATGATTTTCCTGGTGGTGATTTTTTAACTGTGTCTGTTGGATACAAAGTATTCTAGTAACACAATACATTCAGGAGGCAATATCCAAGTGGCCTGATTACTTTTGAAGAAGATGAGGGATATTTTCAATATTTTAAAATTCAAAGTAGTTTAATATCATTTTCTGGCAGTATCGAAGGGACCTCATGACCCTCCTTTCTCGGCTAACTCGTGCTCACGTTTGGTAGCTAATTTTCCACGTGTCTCTTGATTTCCTACCCTGTGGAGAGCTGGGTCACTTCAGGGAGAGAGACAGAAATTGAGTACTCTTTTTGCTGAATGCATTTTCTTGTCAAAGTAACCATGTCCTTTCCTCCCATGAGGAAGATCTTTGCATTTTCCCATGAACCTGATGTGTCTTGTTTTTTTTAAGTTGTGTTTCACTTTTGTTTGTTTGTGTTTATGCTTCTCTTGTTTCTATTGCAGTTTGGCCTTGGTATTACCAACCTACAGTTTTTACTATATAAAAGCCAAAATAGAGGAGACAATAACTCAGGCCAGATGTAAGTACTGTGAAAGCAACTTCAGGGTCTACTTGTTCTGATTTCCTAGCCTCAGATGTTGAACTACGTCTAGATTCTGGGATGCCCGAGGCATTTTAGTAGGTTTTCGCGGGTGTGATCACCAATCTGCAGCAATGATTCTAACCCATTCCAAACATGCAAGGAACAAGAAGTATTCTACATGGATAGAATATGAGCGGATAGTGCAGCCCAGCCCATCCCGCCCGCCTCCCGCCTTGCCATGTGCGCCCGGAATCATTGCGTGCCAGGTCCTCCATGGCTGTCTCTGAAGGGCCCGCTGGCTGCCTGAAATGTCTCACATGCTACCTCCATGCTCTCCTCTCGTGGCCCTGTGCTAGTGGAGCTTTCCCTCTTCTTATCCTTTCCTTTTGTTTTGCTTTGTTTTTGCGTTTGGCCAGAATAATGTTGTGCTTGGCAGTTAACTCTTTCCATAGTCCAGATTAATGTCTCAGTAACTCCAGTGGATTAGTTTCTTTTTCTTTAAGCATCATTTGGAATGTGGGATGACTATTAACTCTAGTGCATATTTCCAATCCTTGTTCACCTTTATTTTGTTTTGGGTGGCTGGATTTAGTAAAGTGAAATGACCATCATATCCTTTGCACACTGCTCAATCACTGAAACAAAGAATAAGTAAAAGCTATATCGATATATAATTATTTTTAATATCCAGTAATATCATTGTGTATCACATCTAATTTTCAGGGAACTGCAATTTCCTACACTTCTGTACCAGTTCTCCTCTGCTCTCCGCAGGCCTCTTTTGTAGGGTATTGTGGTGTCTAAAAACTCTACACGGGCACTTGCCCCGAACAGATATGATGGTCTTTTAACAAAATACGGTACTGCATGAGCTAGCTCTTCACTTGATAAACAAAGGGAGGAGTAGTGAGGCTTTGATGATTGGTAAGTGCTTCTGTTAATGGGCTGACAGCGTCTGCATCGCACCTGCATTAGTCACTGTGCACAAGCCCTTGAAACAGACAGGGTAATCCAGAAACAGGACATACTTCCAGGCCTTCAGAAATGTGTGTGTTTTTCCAGACTGCAGCAGTACATAAGTGAACCTTTGATCTAAGCACAATATTTTTATTCAAGAAAGCATTGAATAAAATATTGTTTGTGACCCCTTTTGCTTTACCCTCTTTCTTTTTTGTTTCCCTGCTTTCTCTTTCTGATGGATTTTCACAGCAAAAAAGGGGAAAATGAAGGGCAAGTATTTTCTTGTTGCTCAGTTTCTTTCTGTGTAGTACACTCGACATCTCCACAGATATTTCCATCCCTACTAGATATTATCCTCTGTGCTTCTCATTTGCTAGATTTTCCTCCATGGTCACTCAAGCCTTTGCCGCAAATACTGGGGGAGTAAGATACTTTCATTTCATATGCAACCCGTTTCACACACGTTTCTTTTATTAGATATAGAAACACGTCTATTTTATCCTTCCACTAATAATTGCTACATAACACTATTAAATTTGTTGTTTCATAATATCACTGAGCTTTTCCTGTTGATATTTTCAAAAAAATGCTTGATGTAACTAAGTTTCTTTTTAAAGACATTGGTTATAGTTTGCCTTAACAAATAGGAAAAATACAGAGAATATTTTATCTGGTGTCTGATATAATGATGTAATGAAGTTATTTCAAATGATTTATCCTATTGGGAAGCATTGAGGATGTTCATAGGTACTGGCTTGATTCAACTTTAGGGTGTAAGGTGCCCCACTTTTCTTAGTAGGTAATCTTTCTAATGCCTGTCATAGTCATCACATCTTGGGACATCTGATGTGCTGCGTGTCTAATTCTATATCATTATCTTTGCAGATTCAGAAACCCTGAAGCCAGATAACTTTGAGGAATCTGGTTACACATTCATAGCTCCAAGGTTGGTTTCATCTTGTTTGCCTTTTTTATAACTTATACAGTTGGGTAAATCTTTCAACTAAAGTTCTGAATTGGACTCAACTGCCCTATTTTGATTCTGTATTACATTGTGGGACCAAGAGGAGAGATGACTTTAAAACTTGACAGTATCCTGTTCTTTTATTATTTCTCCAGTCAGATACTTAGCAATTGCTCAGTGCTAAGCCCTGTGCTGTCTTGGGAATGCAGTGTTGAACAGGGCAGATGCAGCCTCGATCTTGTGGCACTTGGAGTACAGCCCGCAGTAATGAAGCACTGTGCTTCTGCACTTGTGGGTTACTACATCCTCTCCCTTTGCAGTGCTCACATGAAGACACACCCATCAGCTTGCACAGATGTGTGCAGACAACAATGCATACGTGCACACATGTATGCAGTATTTTGGCTTCATGATTGGTTTTTGTTTATAGTCTAACACAGTTTTCTGGGGAAAGATATTCTCCTAGATAATATTGCTCCTATCATGTCTCACAGTCACATTATTTTTTCTCCTACTCTATTTTATTTATCTATCATGTACTACTCTGTCCCTATCCCTAATACACATCGTTTATCCCAGTTCTAATTTCTTGTACTTATTTCAAACTATTCAGTAACCTGAGTTCTATTTCTTTTCTTGACTTCTGATGCCCTAGTACCCACCTGATACTTACGGTATTCAAATAAATACATGTCATGTAAATCTAGGTTAAATTAGTTAAGAAAATGGATACAGAATATTGATGATAATTTTTACATTTGTACTTGCTAAACAAATTACTCTGAGACTGCAGATAGGGCTCACAAAAGTCACTCAGAGTTACTCTGCTGTATTGGCCTAGAATTCCGATTCTGCGTAGACCCAAGAGGTCTGTAGCACTGTGAGAAGATTTAGTCGACAAAGCATAAGCTCACCTTGATGTGGCGAGATAGAGCTCTGCCGCTCGGGGCCCCGTCCTCCTGGTGCTGGAAGTACCAGCTCTGGCTTTGTGTCCCCTGTGGCTGCCCCCGCTCTCTTCTCTTCTTGCCATAAACTACCGTCCACACGCTGGCTGCCTCGTGTTAGCGTGACAGTCTGTGCCCAGCAGGATGTGCGGCAGCTGGGAGGAGACCCGGGCCTGCTGCCCTTTCACACAGAACCCCAGGTGACCCTTTGAAGACTGTCTGCGCTGTGCAGCCACCTAGGGACAACCCCTCAGTGCGTCTCACGTTCAGCCTCTGTGAATCTCCCTTCTCTTTAGAAAGCTCTCTTTGTTGTGTCGGGGATGCCGACGTCAGTGTGTGACCGTGAATCCTGATCGCTGTCCTGGATCGCTCTTTCCCTTCTCTAACAGGAAGTCTCCCTCCACACCATGCCTGTGTTGTCCAAGGAGAGCCCGAACACGTGTCAGGCTCCCCTGTTCTGACCCAGCCCCAGCCACTGCCCATTAACCTAACCCTAGCGGTCCCTGGTTGCATCTGGCCTCCCTGTTCTCCCTGACCCACACTCCCTGATCCCATCTGCCACTGTGGACCTGTGAAGTGGCCCTGGTCCCTCATGTGCCACCCTGGGCGGGCTGTCCTCAGGATGATCTGCACTTTAGGTCAGTCTCGGTGTGCCCGTGCCGCCCCAGCTTGACCTTTGGGCCCGCGGGCTGACCACTGCCTTCATGGAGGTTTCACAGGATCACAGCAGCACTTGGCTGTGGGCTGTGCAGTGGCTGACAGGCAGCGCGGAGCAGGTGGCACAGACCACGAGGGTGGAGCAGGAGTCATGGGTGGGTCTCAAGGTGGCAGTGGTTCACCTCTGCTCAGGGTTTTACACACTGATCTCTGTCAGCTACTAGCGGCCTCCTTTGTTGTTGATCTTTGCCATCTTTCTTCACAGCCCCCACCCCCGTCTGTGCTCCAGCCCCGAGCTCGAGTTCCTCGTGCTGGGAACGCCCATGCTCCCTGGCATGCCTGCCTCATGAGGCCTGCAGTGCCGTCCTGCAGCACCCTCCTCCACAGGGCAGGGCCGCTTCAGGGCCACGCCATGCTCTAGAATTGCTGAATAAAAACTTAGTGACCAGAGAACCTATAAATCTATGAAGAATATTATTAAAAATGGTATGATTGGATCTCTACTATTTAATGAAAATATCACTTACTACACAAAAGCATCTTTAAAAAAAACACAGCAACAACAGGAAAAATGAGAGTGCCAGATCCCATCTGCTTGAATAGAGCCAGGCCCACCAGTGCGCTGTGTGTCATGGGACTGGATGCTCTTCCTGTGATTCCCCCAAAGCCTCTGCCCGTGGACTCCTTGCTTCTCAGCATCCTCAAACTATGAAATCATTTATTGATTCAGCAGTGACACCTGCAGTCTCACTAGCACTTTTCAGATGCCAGTATCTGTGAACAGCTTTAAGTTAACATGGTAACTTTTAAGTGATAAAACTCCTGAAATCAGTTTAAATGAGAAAAAAGACTACCCGGAATATTCTCTTTTAGGATCCAAATGTTGATATTAGCTAGAAAGCCAAGTTTTCCCTGAGAAAATGACTATAGCACAATGTAAGAGATTGAAATGCAGGCTAGGGTAGAATGATATTTTCTCCCAATTCTCAGGTCTGTGCTTTTGTCAGAGATGCTGTTTTGTTCATCTCTCCCAGCTGATAAACGGCAGTATGGCTTTCTCCACTTTTCCATGTGATTAGGCAGAAAAGTCCAGGAATAGACAGGATAGAGAGGATAAATATCCCTCCCAATTCCAACCCATAGGCAGTGGGCTTTGTTCACTCACCTAGAGGTTAACATATGATGGTTTCTGCAGTCTAGGTCATATTTGATGTCTGTGCACCTGCTGAAAAGCTAGACCTCCCCTGTGTTCCCGTGAGGGAGAAAAGTCCAAGAAGGGAGGGAAGGTGGGGTGTAGGGCTCACCCATGTCTGTCCCAGGCAGCATGAACTTACGCTACTGCACTTACTGCTCAAACCATGCCGTTGGAAACTGGAATTAGCATCCTGTTTCACAGGTTAGCAAACAACTTTAGAGACGTTAAATAGGATGAGATTTGCAGCAGTCCTCTGCTGCTCTTACGGTGTGAGCGTGCAGGTGGGATAGGTAAGCCCTGAAGAATCTCAAAAGAACACCCGGCACTTCGGAGTAGAATGTTTTGTAGGGAGCTTTCCTGGGAAAGTGAGTGCTGAGTGCGTATTCAGAGTGGCAGAAAATACAGTGCCAGAAATTGGGATAAAGAGAAAACTGAGGAAAAATAGAAGTGTCTGTGGTGTAGGACTGCAATCCTATAGCTTTTCTGTCACTGTTGTTATTCATGGGAAACAATGTAGAAACTCTTAGAGCAAGACTACATGGTTCTATTGCTCAGATCTTGATCACTGTGGCTGTTACTCAGAGACGCTCTACCTGTCTTTATTTGCAAAATAATATCTGTCTTACAGATTTCTTATTAGTCTTATACAAGGTAATGCATGCAGAATATTTATCATCATTCTTAGTAAGATGTGAGCTCTAATTGAGTATGTTATCATTCCTGACAGTTTCGGTAGGAGGTAGTAGTCGTGTGTACAATATTATTTGGTAAAGGGTTTTTAAAAATTGCTTCCAGATTTTAGGAATAAATTTTTGTTCATTCATTTGATTCTGATTAATAATCAACTTTTGCCATTTTCTTAGATCTTTAAAACTGCTAAGGGCAGACCTTGAGAAAGTGGCTGCAATGGGTACCATTATACCTGTGTGTGGTGCGAGGACCCCAGGGTGAACAGTGTCGCATGGATTTGCTTTACTGTCTTCTTGGATGACCAGGAGTAGAGGTGGGATAGGACGGGAAGGAAAGAACACGCAGTAGCCTGTAGTTAAACGTTCACATGTAGTGCTTCGCCTTCATAAGTTGCATGAGCCTCGTGGAAACAGACGCACCCTGGGTATCCTAGAAATAATTTGGCCGGATTTGCAATACCATTGTCCGTTCAATTATCCTGAGACGCAAAATGGCCACAAGACGTAACTTTAATAAGTCTTTGAAGAGAAACTGCTGTTCTGCGGTTTTCCTTCAAAGTCAGTGCGCACTTCTGCGTTTTGCTGCCTCAGTTTCCCTGAGGAATTCTTTTCCTCCTAAGAGAGATTGACGAGTGAGCATTGTGTACAAAACTGGTTTCTTCTGGAGATACATTGCAGCAGAGGGTGAGAGTGGGGAAGTCTTTCAGGGTGTTTCGGGGGGGGACCATGCATCAGCAAAACCGTGCATGGTCAGGAAAATCACAGTCTCTGTACTGGCGCCCACTGGGCTCCATATCTGAGAAATGGCCATGGGTTATTGATTCCTTTGGGATTTCAGGCTCCCGGCGCAGGGGTAAACAGCAGTGAGCTGCCTGACCATCATGGCTTCTAATGTGGGACGCGCATCTCGACACTGCCCTGTCCCGGTGTCCAGCAGGCTCTGGCAATGTGGGACTTCTTTTGTCCTCTGGATCTTTCCTATCCCCGGAGAACCCATTCCAGCGACACAGCTTTCAGGGTTTCTCACATCTTAAATTGTCTCTGTTTTGCTCCTAACAGGACAGGATTTGTCATTTTCCGCTGGTAGTTTCACCAGCCATGGCTTTTGTGCTGCAGGAAGAAATTAAATTGAGCTCTGTCAACAACTCTTGAGTTTAAGTCATGTCAACTTTCTCAGTCTTGCATTTAGGCTAAGTATTTTCATAAACCAAGAAGTTGCTGTTTGGTTTGGTTTGCTTTTTTCCTTTTGAAGTTCTGACGTTTGGTTTTGCTGCATCCTCTGAGACTTTGTGTTCGGATGATGCTTTTGCATCTGAAGATGTTTGCTCATTGGTTACTATTTAACTGTGTTCTATCTCGAGCATTTCCTGCGGGCTGTATTAGCCTAATAGCATCTACTTGTGGGCTTCGAAGATAGGTGCTGCTCCATTTTTATTTTGAATTTCTGAATCATTTCTGACTGTGGTTCTTGGACCAAGGTTTTCTGAGCCATATGGATTGAGATGCTTACAGAGGGTCCACCGGGTCCCAGCTGTTTTCATAATGGTGCTAAGTGTGGCTCTCCCTTTTCCTTGTATTGGCGTTTGTGCCAGAGGACAAAGTAATGCCAGAACGGTGGTAGCACGAATCAGACCAGGGTCACTACCAGCCACCCATACAAGGGCAAAGCTGGTTGTACTCTAAAATAGCCAGACTGAGCCAGTAAAATTCATTAACTTGACTGGAGGTTCCCCCTAGAAAAGAAGAATTTGTAAAAAAAATATTACTGTTTGATAAAACTGGAAAGGGTACTACTAGAGTAACTTGAATGTCTTAGAGAAAAGGACTCTTGTGATTGAATTGGGAGCTGAATTGAGTGGACCACTCTGCCTCTATTAAAAATATATTATTGCACTTAAATGGCAGATGAAAAATGAGCTATAACTAACTGTTCAGCCTGCGATATCCAACAGACATTTTTAAAACATTGATCAGTTGAGCCTTTTACCTTGAAGAAAATATTTAAGCATTATTTGTTGTCAATGACAAAATTTGAGCTTTTAAGGAAAAAATAATCAGAATTTGGGGAAAGTATCCACTTTTACAACCATGACAGCCCCGCAGTACAGAGCAAGCTCGTGAGATCAGTGGTTATACCAGTGTGTGCACAATGAAAATTTCACATGCAAGTTCAGTGCAATTAGCAGTTTCCAAACAGAGTTTATGATGTTGAGAATCATGATTGCCCAAAATATTCAAAAGGAGAGATAGAACAGTATAGTTTGATATGACTGAATCCTGATACTCTTTCTGATTCTGTATTACAACTAACAAATAAGACATTACAAACAATGAAACTGTGGTACACTATTATATAAAAGAACAACCACAACATTTGAAAGACCACTAAAATAGCCCTGTCTTTTCTAACTGCCTGTCGCTATGCACATATGTTCATCATGCACTAAAGAAAATGCTTGTTCTTGGCTCAATGAAGACAGTAATTGTCCTATTAAGTTGGGGATAAAAGAGCTTTTTTTCACTAATTTTTAAATGCGATAATTTCTCATGAAATGTTAATGTAAGTAGCTTATTCATATTTTAATGAATGAATCTTCAAATTCCTGTTGTAATTTCTATGAGAACTCCAAGACCTACAATAGCCAATGATACTAGCTTATTATGTACAGCAAAGCCTAATTGTACTGAACACCCTCTGACCAGAGACCGGCCTTCCCCGGCCTGTACTGCCTGTAATCTCACCTCTGCATGACAAACTATTACTCCATATGGAAATGAGAAATCAAGGCAACAAGAAGTTCAACAGCTTGCACAGCCATGCAGCTGGGAGCAAAATGAAAAGATAAGCCTATTAAGTCTAAATGCCCTGTAAAGTGTTGCTGTTAATACCCTAAAATATGTATTTTCAGAGATTACTGCAATGACCTTAAACCATCTGATAACAACACTGAATTTCTCTTGAATTTTAATGAGTTTATTGACAGAAAAACTCCAAACAACCCATCATGTAAGTATGCATTTGTCTGTAAGGATTCCTGCTGTGTGGTTACACAGATGTGGTCAATGCCTAGTTCTTATTATCACAGCATGCAGTCACCCTGTGAGTTTATTTGTATGCCCATTTATTTGCATACTTTATGAATTTTAGGGGTAAAATTAGCAATTTGATCCCTGTTCCATCTCTCTCTTGCCCCCTCCTTTCTCTCTTTGTTAAAAATAATATTTTCTTCTCTCTCTATCATGAAGAGGTAACCAAAGCATTTTATCATTTATCAAAAGTAAAAATCCATTTTCTTGAAGCTTTCTCTTAAGTTTAAATTTGTCACAAACAAAAAGTAATGACTTGCTAGTGGATTGACTTTAGTATGAATCAGCAAGTTGCTTCACAGGACCACTCAGAAAATTGTCTGAGCATCAGAGGTTACAGATTTCCTGTACTGCCAGGGGCATCTGAGACCTTTCTTCTCACTGTGAGTTCAACCTAAGCCAGGGTCTAAGTGTTGCTTTGTGTCATTGTTCATTTTCTATTAATAAATAATGAGATTGTTAACAATCTTGAATTGGCTAGCAAAATTATGTGACATCCATATATAATTTTGGTCCAGTACCAGGGATTGAACTCAGGACCTTGCACTTGCAAGGCAGTAATGGTGCTACTGATCTAAAACCCTGGCCCTGTACCCATATACTCTTTGCAAAGAGAAATTTATAGATTTGTAAATGTTTAACTTAATATATATAATAAACGTACAGAAAGCCAGGAAAATTGGAATCATCTTTTTACTGCCTCTAGTTCCCAAGGCCATAGAAATGTTTGAACAAATGCTTTCAGTACAATTCCTACTGTTGCTGTCTGTTCCTCACTCTCTTTCTTCATATCTGCCCCTCTTATGAATGTGAAGTGTTTGCAATGATAACATAATTATGTGTAGATTGAGCATTTATAAATCATTAATGTTAGAGAACACATACCATAAAGCAAGATTTTTTCTTAATGTTTTTATCTTATGTTATCAAACAATTTCTAGAACTAACTCTAAAAATTTTATAAGTGATTGAAATCTGTGCTCTAGTGCATTTTTTAAAAGTGTACTTATGTTTAATTTTTCTGTATAAAATACCTGTACTCAGTACATTGGTGAAATTCAAATTCTTTCCTAAAGTTTAATGTTTGACCTATGATGGTTACCTACATTACATCCTCTCCTCATTCTTTAAGTAATCCTTAAGTGGACCCTCTGTCACATCCTTATAATTGTAAAACAGAATAATGACAAAAAGAGAAAGTCAGAGTTCTCATAACACTTTAAAACTGTATGTAAGAAACAGTAAAGATAGGTTCTAGTATATATATATATATATAT